TAGGAGCAACTTGTACGAGTGGTCATTGTCAACATCACCCACCAATTTTCAAAAACCACCACCCTCCACATCCGTTGCTCTTACATCACAAGTCTAGCATTTGCGACTTGGCCACCCGTCCTTACCTATCCAGAAGAAAATACTTGCTAAGAATTTGATTTCTATTTCTAATTCTTCTATGCCTAATAATGTGTGTAATTCTTGCCTATGTAATAAGAGTCACAAGCTTTCCTTTAAACATTCTTCTCTTATTTGTGATAAACCACTTCAGGTTATTTATACTGACGGTTGGGGGCCAGCACCTATCATGTCTTTTGGAAATTTTCGCTATTATGTTATATTTGTTGATTATTTCACAAAATACACGTGGTTATATCCTCTCAAATTAAATTCTGAAGTCTTTAATGTGTTTGAAAAATTCAAAAATCTTGTTGAAATTTTTTTTCAAACTCATTAAAATAGCATACACAGATGGTGGTGGTGAATATCAAGCACTTTCTCATCTTTTGGCCAAATATGGTGTACAACACCTCAACTCACCCCCATATACCCCTGAACATGTTGGCTCCGCAGAACGAAAACACCGTCACATCGTTGAAACTAGTTTCACCCTCCTTCATCAAGCCTCTATCCCTCTTCGTTTTTGACCCTATGCTTTTCAAACCGCAACCTATCTAATTAATCGCATGCCTACACCTGTACTCCAAAATGACACCCCATACCAAAAAATGTTCGGCCACCCCCCATATACATAACCCTCCGTGTTTTCGGGTGTCTTTATTACCCATGGCTTTGGCCCTATAGTCACCACAAACTTGAGCCACACTCTCAACCTTGTGTGTTTCTCGATTTTTCACTTCCAAATCATGCTTTTATCTGTTTTGATTCAAACACTAACAAAATATTTATTTCTAGACATGTTGTCTTTTTTGAAAATCTCTTTCCTTACAAAAATATTTCCTGTAATGAATTATCAGTCACTAACCAATCTTTTTCAAAATTACTTTCTACTTTTACAGAAAAACATATGGCAAGTAAATCTTCACTCATTAATACCTCATCAGATTCTTCTCCTCCTAATCTAAACATTCTTCCAAGTGTCATTACTACAAATTTGTCTCCACAAATGCTATCTCCTATAAATCCTCCATGCTCTAATCAGATAACAAATCCGTCAACTCCCACTTTAAATATGCAATCACCACCAGCTCCATTGTCCACCTCTCACCAGGATACTCCTACTCTCTCCTCTAACTTAGATGACTCCCACACCTCTCCTAATCAGGTAAGTGATTCTTCTTCTTCATCGTCCTTAAATAAATCACCCATTTCATCTCCGCCCCCTGACACATCACCACAACCTTCTCGAATGGTAACACGAGCCCAAAACAACATACACAAACCGAAAATACCATTATTTCTAATTACTACTACGGCCAATCCCTCTATCCTCATTGAACCATCCTCATTTACACAGGCCAACAAACTTCCTCAATGGTGTGAAGCCATGAATGAAGAGATTTAGGCCCTCCAAACAAATAATACATGGTCCCTAGTCCTTGCCTCCCCCACACAAAACATTGTTGGATGTAAATGGGTTTATCAAATCAAGAAAAATCCTGATGATTCCATTGCACGTTACAAGGCTCGCCTTGTGGCTAAAGGGTTTCACCAACGCCCCGGCATAGATTTCAATGAAACCTTTAGCCCGGTTGTTAAACCCGTCACTATTCGTATCGTTCTCAGTATAGCGGTGTCTCATGGTTGGATCTTGAATCAACTGGATGTTAACAATGCTTTCTTGCAGGGTACTCTCTCTGACCATGTTTTTTATGCAGCAACCCCAAGGGTTCATTGATTTCGGAAATCCGACTCATGTTTGCAAACTACATAAAGCTCTATACAGTCTTCGCCAGGCTCCTAGGGCTTGGTATAATGAACTTCGCACTTTTCTCCTTGACAATGGATTTCTCAATTCCAAAAGTGACGCCTCTCTCTTCATCCATTGCTCTAACTTTACAACAATGTATCTTCTTGTCTACGTGGACGACATCATTCTCACTGGAAATAATTCAGCAGCCATTCATGCATTCATGTCTCATTTATCTACTCGATTCTCCCTCAAGGATCTTGGCAGCCTCAGCTACTTTCTTGGTGTTGAAACTACCAGGTCCTCAACCGGTCTTTTCTTTTCTCAACGGAAGTATATCATTTACCTTCTTCACAAAACTAATATGCATGAAGCCAAGGAAATCAGCACACCATTGTCCTCCTCTGAATCTCTGAAGCTCGACGACGACTTGCCCAATCATGATCCAACTGCATACCGTCAGGCTCTTGGCTCTCTTCAATACTTGTCTCTAACTCGCCTTGATATCAGCTTTGCAGTTAACAAGTTGGCTCAATTTATGCACCAGTCGTCAACTAATCATTGGAATGTTGTTAAGCGTGTCCTTCGATACTTAAAAGGCACCTCTCACTATGGCTTGTTTCTATCCGCTCGCTCACCATTATCTCTCCATGCCTTCTCGGACGCCAATTGGGCTGGTGATGCTGACACTCGCCACTCCACTTCTGTTTATGTTGTCTTCCTTGGCTCTAATCCAATCAATTGGAGCTCTAAAAAGTAGTCTACCATTGCTTGATCATCTACTGAGGCCGAATACAGGGCTATTGCGTCTGCCACTGTCGAAGTTAACTGGTTGTCAAATCTCCTTGGTGTTACACTCTCGTCTTTGACGTCCATTTATTGTGATAACATTGGTGCAACATACCTCTGCTCTAATCCATTGTTTCACTCTCGCATGAAGCATATAGCAATCGACTTTCACTTTGTTCGTGATCAAGTGGCTCGCAAGCTGATTTGTATTTCTCATGTCCACACAACCGATCAACTTGTTGATTCCTTGACCAAGCCTCTCGCTCGAAAGCAATTCCAGCTGCATCAATCCAGGCTTAGCATCCTTCCCGGATCCTTGCACTTGCGGGGGCATGATAGAGCACTAATTTAGGATTTCATTTATGTATAGAGTTTACTTTTCTTATTGTAATCTTCACTGTAATCTCTCCTGTAATCACTCTTTAATTAGGCTGATTTCACTCCTTATAGGCTGATTTAGTTTCCTCTTACATGTCCTTAGTCACAGGAAACTAATCACTATATATTGTAATTGTTTCTGTTATTGAAAAATACAATATTCATACAAGTCTTTTAGATGGGATCACAATGATCAAAACCAGAATTGAATTGGGTTGGTAAATTATGCCACTAATCGAGTATAACTAGGCATTATTGGGTTCATACATATTAGGTAGTTGATGGAAAATTGAGCCTGCATGATTTTGATGTCCAAACAAATTAAATCATCCTATAGTTTATCAAGGAACTGTTTCACCTATGATTTCCGCAGTCAGAATCATTGGAGCCTTAATTTAACATTGGCGTGTGTAAACATTCTTACCTGAAAACAGGAAAAAAAACACTGTAATGAAATGTTCTAAAAAATTATTAATATATTTTTCCTGTATTATCAAGCACATGGCTTCAAATTTTCTCCACATGCATTGCAGTTATCATCAATTTCACCATTTGTGCATAAATTGTGTGAGAGAGAGAGAGAGAATCTAGATAACAAACAACAATCTTTTGAGCAAGTGAGATGCTAGAGCTCATCATTTAAAGAGTTGAACCTTTTTGGGAAAAGAGAATGAGCCCAAAACACGTAAATCTCGTATTGAAAACAATGAGTAACTCATATTCATTAGACTCATAATATTAATAGCCAATGGACAGAGCGTAACAAAGTATAGTAACAAAGTATAGTAACAAAGTGGAGTATACGTAAACTTACGTTTTTGTTCATGGTTATTCACTACACTAAGCATTCACTATACTTGCATTTACAATTGAAAAGTCATGTGCTTGATATTTGGATATCCACTTCTTCAATAAAATGAAAATTAATGGAGAGAATTCCATTTTTGAGTATGTACTCGTGATCGCTTTCCAACTAATCAAAAGCCACCTATAATGATGTTTGCTGCATGCATTTTCACAACAAAAGATCCGTAACTCAGTCTCTATCAACATAAATGTGCATGGTGAAAGCACTAATTTTTTTACATTCCTTAACATATCTATCCATACATTATTCACCCATACATATGATTATATATCTGGTGAATGATTCATCATAAATTCATAATAAAAGTTGCACTCGGTACATAGAATATTCGTTTCTACTAGGGTCCCAGATAAGTAAGTGCGAAGTAATACTATATCCCATTTTGTATAAGGAGTGCAAAGTAATATTATATCCCATTTTTATAGGACCCATAACATATTTATTGAACCGAGGAACATTTGTTATCCCTCAGAGTTCAAACTCTTAGGGCTCGTTTAATTGTCGTATTAGAAATGAATATATTAGATAAAATAATTCAGTCTAATACAATACAGTTGGACAAAAGACAAGATTAAAATACGATATTAGAATAATACGTAAGTTTATCTAATATTTGACAATACACAATATAAACGTTGGATAGTAATTATTTAATTTAATCGATTATTTGATTAGAAAATTATTTAATCGTATTAATATTAAATTAATAAAAAACACCATCAATCAGTGCGTTGAAGTATTTGTTACGTTGATAACATTTTGGTTTTATCAATTGTGGGATTATAATAATAAATGTGTACAATAATACATTTAAATTGGATTATACTATCACTATAATACAGGTTTATGGTACTAAAATTATGCGATAAATATACAATTAGTATACATTTTTTAAATTAATATGAAATCAAATTTATCTACCAAAAAAATTATTAAACCCGATTAAATAAAGTGCCCAATGCCCATGCATGATGGTTGAGATGATCAAGAACTCTAATGCTTCCATAATATTGCAGACATCAGGATATTCTCTATTTATATGCATAGCCCCTTTTGGTGACAACTTGGAATACAGCTTGCGAAATTAGGGTAACCATGAGTAAAGGCGGAAGCTATGGTGGTGGACAGAGTTCACTGGATTACCTGTTTGGCTCCGGTCAGCCGGCAAAACCGCCGTCGGTTTCCCCTCCGGTTACCAGAGCACCTATAGATGATGATGACAGCAACACAAAAAAACCACCAAAAAGTCCTTCACAGATTCTGGGTGTTTCCAATAATTATCACAGAGCTCAAGGCCAAAACTTAGGCAACTTCATTACTGTAAGTAGCCCTTAATACTCCATGTTATTGCAAATAAGCTGTGTAGGAAAACAAAAGGAGTTAGAAAACAACTCTTTGACCCCCCAAAAAGGCAGTATTCTCTGGTTCCTTCCTTTTTCCTTCATTCTCACCTTAATCAAACACCTTCTGGGAGAAACTTTACAGTCTTTTTATTCTTTTCAGGACCGTCCGACGACGAAGGTTCATTCACCGCCGGGTGGAGGCTCATCTCTCGGGTACTTGTTTGGAGAAAAGTGATGCTTGTTTTCACCAAGCTTTCTACAGGAAATGTAGCTGTGCGGGCCTGTGCTGTGGCTTCTCTAAAAACCTATAAATAAGGGCTTCATTATCCATCAATTAAGCAGATATATATAGATATTGATGTTTTTTTTCGAGTGGTGTTATGTGAAAGAGAGTTTTTTGTAATGAAGATGAGTCCATATATGTTTTGTTGGTGTAATCATAGGATTCCGAAAAGCAAGTGAAAGCTGTTCCCATCTGTTTGCTGACATTATAATACTATATTACTACGTTGGAATGGTGCATGGTTGCTTTCAGATATAGAATGGAATAGGAATTTATGCTCTGTATCAGCGGTTTAATTAAATAATAAACTTCTTGATGGTGATCTATACATAACAACTCGGAATGGGCTTTGTTTGATTTTCTTGTAAAAGATAAGTGATTGTTACCTGACTCAAAACCTCTCTCTCTCTCTCTCTCTCTCTCTCACACACACACACACACACTGACACACGTATTTTCTATCACCTTTGTTGTTTCCTCTAGTTCTTTAGTGTGGATGGTTGCTTCAACTAATTGTTCTAAAGAAGATGACATTGGTTGTATTGCTAGAATTGCCTGCTACGTTATTGAAAGTTCTGGATAGTAGGATCCAGAATATTTGACGCAATACAGAATTCATTGCATCGTTGATTCAGTTTTAGGGTGTATGAGACTACACAAAATATGCTAGCCCCCACTAAAACTTTCTCATTTAGGCTTTTCAATCTGATTGTCGTTATTCAAGTGCTATCACAAAGAATCTTTTATTTCGTCCTTCTGCAATGGTTTGAAATGGGCTTGGTAGCCAAGAAAGTAAAGTCGTGGAGGAAGACATACTGTCAAGCAAGTAGCAGTAATAGTCTCGGTTTTTTAGTAGCTTTGAGAATTTTTTAATGAGACTTAATTTAGGGTAGAAAAAAAACTTCAAACTCAAGCACAAGCTGAGTAAACTAGTTCAGGTTTACTGCAAGTTTAAAGAAAGAATGGTAGGAACAGCTCGCTGAAATATCTCCACTTGCGAAGTAAATTGCGCTCGTAATACTAAATCCAGACCTTGTTTCTTTGTGAGTGGATCTCCTTGTGCCACTAAAATTTTTCATTGTGATTAAACATCACGGGTTTGAGCCAAGGACAAAGGTATTAGTGGGTTACAGTGGGCTGAAGTCCAGAGTAAAAAAAAAAAAATTATCACTTTTATACAAGACTATCAGTATCAGTCCACTAAATCACTAATCATTAGTCCAATTTTTCAAAACCCTTAAGGCTTAAGCCCCAATAATCATGGAAAGAAAGAATTTTTCAAAATTTTCTATTCCTATTTTGATCGGAACAGAGAGGGGATTACGCCAACGCCAAACACCTCGATTTCGTCTGTATCGTCCATTCATTCTCTAGTTTTACTCGACTAATCCTTTTTCAAGAACCACAAATAAGGATTACTCTTAAGCTATGTGAGGTACCATGACTCATTCTTTTTGTCTCCTTGATCATATATTCAGACGTTATTTGGGTTGTTTTCTCTGATTTTTTGTTGATTATTTTTTAACTAGAATAAAAGAATCATTGTTGTCTTATTGATTTATTTCTCTAATTTTTAGCCCTTCTCTACTTTATTAGGATGGAAAATCAAGAACGAAAAAGATTAAAAACAATTTTTTTGTTCTTCAAAAAGAAAAGTGAAGAAAAAATATCAAATTCTACTCTTGAACCTTTGAGTCTAGTAGAAACATCAACAAGTGTTGATGTTCCTATGATTCCTGCGACTGTTGAACCTCAAGGTCCTCAACCTCAAACAATAATTCAAAGGATTCTTTTTGATGAGAATGAACTTGAACGAGATCCCGCATTACGTATTCCAATACAGAAACATCCTACTTATAATCAAGATGAAGTTAGACATGCTTATATAAAGTGGGGACCAAATCAACCTATCTTGGCTGAGTATCCGAAGACTAAAACTTGAGTTTAAAATCGAAGATTTGAGAAAAGTTGGTACAAAAAATTTTCATGGCTAGAGTATTCTATTTCAAAAGATGCGGCATTTTGCTTTCCGTGCTTTGTTTTTCAAGGTCGTGAACTTCTACATCCTGTATTTACCGTTGATGATTTTAGCAGCTGGATGAGAGTGAAAACTGGGGTCAAATGTGTTTTCTTGTCACATATGGGAGGTCCTGCTTCCACACACAATAATGTTGTGAGAAATGTTGAGGCATTGAAGAATATATCAGTGCACATTGATAAAGTTATAAATGTTCAAAGTTCATAAGAAATAAAGAGAAATCGATTGCGTCTTAAGGCTGACATTGATAGTGTTCAATGGCTTATTTTACAGGGATGTGCCNAAATGTTCAAAGTTCATAAGAAATAAAGAGAAATCGATTGCGTCTTAAGGCTGACATTGATAGTGTTCAATGGCTTATTTTACAGGGATGTGCCTTGAGAGGTCGTGATAAATCTATAATGTCAAATAACCGTGGTAATCTAATTAAGATGATTAGTTGATGGCAAAGTTGAATGTTAAGATAAATGATGTTGTCTTAGAGAAAGCTCCAAGAAATGCAAAGTATACATCTCCTATGATCCAAAAAAATAGTTTGCATATTCTAGCTACTAAAGAGAAAAAATCAGTGAAGAAGTTGGAAATGCCAAGTTTTGTATTTTGGTTGATGAAGCAAAGGATGCATCAAATAAAGAACATACGACAATTGTTCTGAGATTTGTTGATGTTCAGGGTTTTTTGCATGAGATTTTTTGAGATTATGCAGGTTAAAGATACCACTTCTTTAACTCTTTAAGAAAAAAATATCAAAAGTTCTTACTCGACATAATTTGCACATTCGAGATTTTCGAGGTCAAGGATATGATGGTATTAGTAACATGCATGGTGCATTTAATGGATTGCAAGTTTTGTTCTGCAATGATTGTGAGTATGCATACTATGTTCACTGTTTTGCTCATCGTTTATAATTTGCATTAGTTGCAACTGTTGAAAATGATATTTCAATACGGTAATTCTTTTTCAAATTAACATGCATTGTCAAATCTTATTATAGTGCTTCTCCTAAGCGTCATACAAAGCTGCGATCTGCCCAAGCTACTGAGATTGAAAAGGGAAAAGCTAATGGTGAACGAGAGACTGGTAAATGGGCTAATTAAATGGGTACTTTGCATTGAGATTGTACTGCTCGTTGGAACTCACATTTTGAATCCATTTGTGGTTTGATAGATATGTATGATGCTATCATTAGTGTGTTTGAATGTATGATTAACGAAAGATCTTCAAATACAATTCATGTGGAAGATGGTGATTCTTTAATGACAATGAAGTCCTTCCATTCCATATTCATACTGCATCGTATGCCCAAGATTATAGGGATTACGAATATGCTTTGTCGGGCATTGCAGCATAAATCATTAGATATTTTAAATGCGATGAATTTAGTCTCATTGACAAAATCATTGCTTCAAACCTTGCAAGCCGAAGGTTTTGATTATCTTCTTGACCATATGAAATCAGTTTGCATGAAATTTGATGTTGATATACCTGATATGAGTACTTAGTACAAAGGGACAAGACGTTCATGTCAACAGAATAATAACATTACAGTTGATCATCACTATCACTTGGACATATTTAATGCTACGATTGATTATCAATTGGAAGAATTACATAGTAGATTCAATGAAGAGACAATGAAATTGTTTATGCTCAGCTCTGCTTTAAATCGTCGGAAGAACTTTAAATCTTTCAATCCTGATCGCATTTGTTTACTTGCTGAGAAATTTTATGAAACTGATTTTGACAGATAAGACATGCATCATTTGAAATATCAACTGGATCATTGTCGATTTGATGTGGTTCATCATGAGAGATTTCAAAGTATGTCTATAATTTTAGAATTATGACGTGGGTTAGTAGAAACAAATAAGGCAGAGTCCTACAATTTGATTGATAGGTTAATTCGCCTTATTTTAACTCTTCCTGTTTCTGTGACAACTTCAGAAAGAGTATTTTCAACAATGAAACATGTCAAAAGTACTCTTCGTAATAAGATGAAAGATGAGTATTTGACTGATTCATTAGTTGTCTACATTGAAAGAGAAATAACGAAAGCAATCAATACAGATTCAATAATAGATACCTTTTGTTCTAGGAAGGATTGAAGAGTCCAATTTCATTAGTAAGTGTTTATGAGTTTACATTTATATTATTGTATATATGTTAATGAGTTTATATTTGTATTTTGTTAGTCGTATGAATGCTTAACTTAGTTCAGAATAAACAAAAATTCTGACCCCGCCCTTGGTTTGAGTTACGAAGATTATTCATACACATAGACATGTGTAACTAACGATGTGTATCTGGCTCTCCCAAAACCCAGTTCTACTTCAGGGTAGCCAAAAACAAATATAGTGGGGCTAGTTAGCTCCATAGGTGTTGGGATTTAATACGCTTTAAACTCACATACAAACACACACATTCGAAGAATAAATTAAGAACATAAAACAATAAAAAACAAGAAAGAATAAGACACAAAGATTTTACGTTGTTCGATAATTTGCCTACGTCCACGAAACTGCAAGATTTTCACTATTGAGAGAGAGGATTACAGAGAACGGTCATACACATCGATCAAACCCTAATCACCAAAGTAGAGGTCTTTTATATGTCCTACGCACCGGGCTACAAAACAAGTTCAAGTCTCCATTCCATGGACCAAGCCTCAGAAAATTTTTCATTAAAAAACTATGCAACATTATTTTGGATCGGATCATTATTCAGATCAACATACAAACTAAACTCCAGAACGGCCCAACAATAGGATGGATACTTCAAACTATCGTCACCAAATGTCTGTATGCCCCAGTTTGCAATTGATGTTTTTGTTCAATCCAATTCATCTTTATCGGTCACATAATGAAAATTTCCAAAACGCACTGTTTCTTGGCATTGAAGGAAGGGACCATGCTGTCAGCAGCATTGCAAGACTTGCAAATGGAAATTATGGTTGTCGTCAGATCGGGTATGGATCTGATCTATGGAGATTTGAATCCGATAAAAAATATGAGTCCGGAATTCAATCCGTTTACTTGACAGATTTCAAAATCTTAAACTATATTCGCATCCGTTAATAATTGAATATCTGATCCTATTATTCAATCTAATTTGAAAATTTTGAATTTTAACAAAATTTCATAAAAAATTAATAATTTTATCAAATTTAAAGTAACTTTAAACCTAATTTATTCAACCAATTATTCTAATCAATCATTTTTGTTTAATTTCATGTCTAACTCATTAATAATCTAACTAAGTATATACGTATATACAATAATTTCTCTTAATTAAATATGTGTGTATATATATATGATCAAATTTATATGTATCTAAATTTAAATCCGTTTAAAAAAACTTAATCGAATTCGGATAAACAAATTAAAATATTAATTCATATCCAATTAAATGGGCTCAAATTTGAAATGAATTGATGGACATACTGAAAATGGTGGAATGTGGAATGGGCTTCGGTGTATGCAACATATGTGTTTAGCATCAAGACTAATCTTCTTGTTGTACAGTCATGCCTGACATTTACTGACAATTTTGTCGAAAATTTTCCCTTTCAGGAAGAGCCCAAATTCACAGCAAGAGAGAGAGAGAGAGAGAGAGAGAGAGAGAGAGAGAGAGAGAGAGAGAGAGAGAGAGAATCCAGACACAAAGTTATGTATTACATGTCAAATATTTGCAATTTATATCGTATTTTCCATATTTGGGAATTTTTTCAATTTTAACATGTCAGCATTAATTCTGCTTTAAATCTCATTTTTTGAATCAGTTAAATCTATTTATATGTACAGATTTTGAACATTAAAGAGAACCGAAAGATCCTCAAATTCTTAAGAAATTAAAAGCGAGTCAAACCTCTCATTATTCTTACTTAATTCGCTTCCATTGTTGGGTAGAATTGTATTTTAAATCGGGGTTGTGTTTAGAATAACTTATAAAATTTAAAAATAGTATTTTTTAAATAATTTTTAGTTATTGTTCGTGTCTGAAGGCACTATACAACAAACAAAAAAAATTTTAAACAATAGCTTATATTAAAAAATAAAGGTTTAAAAATATTCATATTAATTCTTCTTTTAAAATAACTTGAAATATATCATCGACCATATCCTCTATATTAATAGAACTGTTATAAAACATATATACAAATGTCTCTGGAAAAAAAAAATACTAACATAATCTGTTGAAATTTATAATCTTTAAACAATAAATAAAATCTTGTTCATTTATAAAACTCACAAATTTATCACCTCTACCGATCAATTCAATAACACAATATAATTATAAACTCAACCACCATATTTTCAATTCATTCAATACCTATATAATAAATACCTCAACAAAAAAAAAACTAATATAACACAATTAAATTCACAATCTTTAAGCAATAAATAAAATCAATCAAATTTTGCTCATTTATAAAACTCATGAATTTATCACCACCATCACCATTCAAATTCCAAATAACACAATATAATTATAAATTTAATCATTAAATGTTCAATCCTTCATATATAAATATACACAAAAACACACCCTCACACATTTCTTTTTTGGTTATCAACAAACTATTCTAACCAATAACTATTTTTTATCAAACAATACAATAATTCAAGTTTTTAAGATAAAATAATTATAAATTCATATTTAATTAAAAAAAAAAGGGATAAAAATCATGGATATCCCCTAAGTTTGTGGTAATATTATACGAACACCTCGTAACATTTTATAAATAACACGGAGATCCCCTGAGATTTGAAAATCATTGCACCAAGATTCTCTATGTCCCCCTTCTGTCAATGTTCCTAAAGAAAATTGATAATTTCTTCAAATTTTTTTTTTTTTTTTTACAATTGTCTTTCTCCAAATTTAGTACCAAAAATTAAAAATTTAATAAAATCAAATAAATTTGATTTAGTACCCAAAAAATTGATTAAATAAATTTCAATATTAATTTAAAAACAATAAAAATTAATTTGATATTAATTCGACAAAATTGAATATAAATTAGACAAAATTAAAAGTCAATTTTTGATAAAATTATATATTAATTTACAATCTAAAGTTTATTTCGTATTGAATATTATTTGGTGTTTATAGTCAATGTGCTATTTTTATTTATATTAAGTGTTATTTACAAATTAAGAAGTAAATGACCAAATACATGTCATTAGATATATAAAAACTTTGAATTAATTTCATCAAATAAATAATTACACAGCAAATAGTTTCATCTATTTTATGGATTAAATAATAATAAAAATAACACTGGGGAAATTTAAAAAAAAAAAGATAATAGTATGAGAGACTATAAGATAGATCGAGAGAGTTATATGATAGATGATCGTCTTAAAATTGTAAAAGGAATAAAAGTTTAATTAGGACCATCAGTCCAAAATGATTTGAGCCGCGAAAAATTTAAGACAAACAAGCTAACTATTTTATTATATAAATAAATATAGATATCGGTATATATATATATATATAACGACATATGTTAATGAACTTATATTTTGTTAGAGATAATCCTTGTTATTAGTGTTTAATAGGTATTAGATGTATTTTGTTATTATTAGATATATATTGTCATCCAAACCAATCTCTTAAATGGTTTAAATTGTGATGAGGGAAGAGAGTTTAAATGAGACGTACGAATGAGAATGAGAAGAGATAAAAGAATAGAGTTATGTTGGAGTGTAGATTAATTAAGGATCATCGGATTAATAATATTGAATCGATCTGAATCGCAAAACGCTCAAGACACACTAAATTAGCTACTTTATTGTATAGGCTTTCATTAAATGAATACCGTTCGGATGCTCAAGCAAAAATGTACTCAAATAAAAAGTATTTCATCAAAAAGTGTGTTTGGATTATTAATGAAAAAAAACTTAATTATGTCTTAAGTTTTAATACATCTCCAAAACATTTATTAAAATTTGAGTGGTGATGGTAAGCAGTAGCAACAGTGGTGGGTGGTCGGACAACTACGAGTGGTGGTGGGCGATGGTGGAGAATGGTGATGGCGGTGGTTGGTGATAGTGGGCAACAGTGGTGGTAGTGGTGGTGTGTGGGGTGGTTGGTGATGGTGGTAGGAGGCGATGGACAGTGGCGACAGTGGAATGATATGGTAGTGGTAATAAATATAAAAATAAAAATTGTTTTGTGAAGAATTGATTTTAAAGAAATAATAGTTACTTTTTTTTTTAATTTTTATTTACTTTTTAAGTGATAAAATAATTGTTGACTTATTAGGAAGTAAGTGAAATAAATTATTCTAAATATTTTTTTTTTCAAAGTGCATTTTAAAAGTCATAAATCCTAAAAATACCCTTTAAAAATCATTCCAATCCCAACCGCATCGTCCATTTTAATTCCGAGTAATGAAGCCAAAAGCCAAAGAGATTGGCACCTTACTTTGCTCACTCGTCAGTGTTTACTTCCATCGACCGTTACATAGAAATACTGAAGAATTGAAGTTTCAAACCATGTTTGGAAGTTATTAATATTGTTGACATATTCATATCATACCCTTGGATTGTATTGAGATTATGCTTAGATTTCACTCGCAAGAACATCCCTATATAATCTCTCTCTCTCAGTCCCCTCCAAGAGCACACAATTACACAACTCCTATCAGAAAATGGGGTTGTGTCAAATATCTAGAAAATCCCATGTAATTCCTCTCTATCACTTAACGTTTTTCTCTATATTTTTCGGGTTTTATTCCATCAAATATGACTCTTTTCATGGTCTTATCATATAAATTTTCTGACTCTCTTTGGACTGATTTTATGGATCGCTTTACATTTTTCTCTATATTTTTCGGGTTTTATTCCATCAATGATGACTCTTTTTGCAGTCTTATCATATAGATTTTCTTACTCTCTTCCGACTTATTTTATGGAACTAGGCATTGTTTTGGTTCTGATTCAAGCATGTTCCTTTTTTTGCTGACGAAATTAGAGTGTCTTCGCTTGATTTTCTTGTTAATACTTGTTGTGATTTCTCAGTTTCTACAGGTTGTTGAGATAGTCTCGGTCATTTTTGTATTGGGATTGCTCAGTCTGAAGGCAGTAGAATGCCGAAACCAGCATAGACGTCCTGAATTGTTTCAGTACCCTGCAATAAATTGTCGAAAGCATAGTGCACTTCTGACGGATTTTGGTGGCAAGGGCGATGGAAAAACGTCGAACACAGCGGCTTTTCGATCGGCGATTCTTCGCTTGAGCCAGTTTGCATCGGATGGAGGAGCACAACTCATTGTACCACCAGGAAAATGGCTCACTGGGAGCTTCAATCTGACCAGCCATTTCACTCTATATATTCAGAAAGATGCTACTCTTCTTGCAAGTCAGGTAATACTTACTCTCATCGATATGCCAGTGAATAGATCGGATTTTGATCCAAATCTGATTAGCTAGATAATGATTGATATTCTTGACCAATAATTTAAACCCGAATCAAAATCCAAAGTAGATATCTTATTTTTCACAGATTCAGATTTGAATATATCTATACCAAATCTAATTATGATTCAATTAGGTATAATTTATTTTTAAATTAGTTTATTATGTTATTCGGATCGGGTCGACTTTTTGGATCAAATTTCAAATTGACGAACTTGGATATGAACCACTAAAATACAACCAATCAAATTATCATATCAAATTTGTAAAATCGGAATTGACTTCGGATTAGTCCAAATCCGATCTGTTGATAGGCCTATTGTTAATTTTTTGACATGACATGACAAAACGATACGATTGTATGTCATTGAGATTGAAAAGGGTGTTAAGTTTAACCCTAACTTCTAATCGGGGCTGCCAATTGTGGCGTGCACAAAGACTAAATTTAAACTAGGATTGTCAATTACTCAAATCGTGTCTTGTTAAAATTTGTTTAACTCATACCCAACTAAATTATAATTATGCACAGTCAAATTCGTACTATGCATAAGTGTTTAGTCTAGTACATATCATCTGAATTATTTGACAAGTTTAACATATTTACTCAGTTATTACCAGGAATTCACTTTGGCTAACTTCGTATTGGGTTAACGAGTCATATCCAGCATTATCATGTCTAATTTAAACTGCTGTTAATGAAGTTGGCTTCTCTTTTTTTTTTTAAAACTACTTTGATTTTGATACAAAGGCTTGTAAAACTATACTCCATAGCTCACCACATTGTGACTCTTTTTTTTCTATTCTATGGCTATGATGTTCCCATTTGAATCTGCTTAAATTATTGTATGGCCAGGATGAGTCAGAATGGCCTCTTATTGTGCCATTGCCATCTTATGGCAGAGGAAGAGATGCCCCTGGAGGAAGGTTTAGCAGTCTTATTTTCGGAACAAATCTCACTGATGTAGTTATTACAGGTAATCGTAATGTAGTCCCATTGCTATCTGATACAAAACATTTGAAACTACTTTGGTAGCACAGTAGATATGACACCCGTGTCTATATCCGTACTTGTTATTAGCACCACCATAATGAGACCAAATTGATTCTCATCATGGTCAGGTGGTAATGGCACCATTAATGGCCAGGGTGCATACTGGTGGACGAAATTCAAGAGCAACAAACTGAAGAGCACCAGGCCTTACCTGATTGAGATCATGTACTCCGATCAGGTCCAGATATCTGACCTCACATTGATCGACTCTCCATCGTGGAACGTCCACCCCGTCTACAGCAGGTTTGAGCTTTCCTCAATTTTCGAATTTGTCCATATGTTTCTGTGCAGATTATAACATTTCATGAAACCTAAAAAATTGCAGGGATGTGATCATAAAAGGGTTGACAATCCTTGCACCAACTCAATCTCCTAATACTGATGGGATAAATCCGGGTTTGTTTGCCCTACACAATTCTACCTCTGATTGATTGATAGTAATTAGTACCACAATTCACCTCATAATCTTAGTCTAGTTTGTTTCTCTTTGGTTCTGCAGATTCATGCTCAAACATCCGAATTGAAGATAATTACATAGTCTCAGGGGATGACTGTATTGCAGTAAAAAGTGGTTGGGACCAATATGGGATAAAATTTGGAATGCCAACACAGCATCTAAGCATCAGAAGGCTCACCTGCATTTCCCCGTATAGTGCTGCAATCGCTCTTGGCAGTGAGATGTCCGGTGGCATTCAAGATGTTCGAGCTGAGGACATTACAGCCATCAATACTGAATCAGGTGTAAGAATCAAAACTGCCCCGGGAAGGGGAGCTTTCGTGAAAGACATCTACGTAAAAGGAGTGAGAATGAATACCATGAAGTACGTTTTTTGGATGTCTGGAGCTTATGGATCACACCCTGATAATGGTTATGATCCAAAAGCACTTCCTGTCATTCGGAATATAAATTACAGGGACATGGTAGCTCAGAATGTTACCATTGCAGGCAACCTTGCTGGAATAAATGGCGATCCCTTTACCGAAATCTGCATTTCGAATGCAACTATAGAGATGCGGAAAGAATCAAAGAAATTGCCATGGAACTGTACTGACATCAGTGGTGTTACAAGCCGGGTGAGTCCTCAGCCATGTGGTCTGTTGCCTGATCAAAAACCAAGCAGTGACTGTGCTTTCCCTAATGATAGGCTGGCCATCGATGATGTTCCATTGAAGATTTGTTCGGGTGGTAGCTCCTACATATGATAGTCAATAAACTCCCAGTTTGGTCCCAGTAATGGAGTTTGAGAGTGCTGTATTTGATTTTTCGTACCTGTATGATGCCAATACTGATGCCATCTCCTAGCAAGCAAACATGAATAGCCATTTTATGCATGTAGTCCAATGTGTAATCTATTTGAGTCCCAGATTAACGAAATAAAGCAACTTGTGACTCCCATGGTAGTGCACCGTTTATCAGTACTAATGAGCCCTTTTTTTTTTTGGGGGGGAGCAGAACCAAGTGAATGCAATGAAGCCTTCAAATATAAGGGATTCTCGGAGAAACCTTTTGCTACAATCCGGAAGTGTCACAAGCACAAACACGAACAATTTAGTGCTCAATGGCATCCTAATCACTTGATTATAGAAAAGAATCAAAATTTTATTTCGGTGCATTGTTTCGATCACCTAAGAAACGAAAACATTTTGACGTATTCAACCTATTTCAAAAATAAAATGAAAAAAATAAAAAATTTAAGAATTATTTTTTCAAAAATATTGGTCAAAATATGCTAAAATATCTTGAAACATTCTAAAATAATTGTGCAAGTGCATTGAAATATAATAAAACATCTCAAAATATTATGAAACACTTTGAAGTATTACATCACTGATTCGTTTCGGTCTTTTCAAAAACGAAAACATTTCNAAGGCTCACCTGCATTTCCCCGTATAGTGCTGCAATCGCTCTTGGCAGTGAGATGTCCGGTGGCATTCAAGATGTTCGAGCTGAGGACATTACAGCCATCAATACTGAATCAGGTGTAAGAATCAAAACTGCCCCGGGAAGGGGAGCTTTCGTGAAAGACATCTACGTAAAAGGAGTGAGAATGAATACCATGAAGTACGTTTTTTGGATGTCTGGAGCTTATGGATCACACCCTGATAATGGTTATGATCCAAAAGCACTTCCTGTCATTCGGAATATAAATTACAGGGACATGGTAGCTCAGAATGTTACCATTGCAGGCAACCTTGCTGGAATAAATGGCGATCCCTTTACCGAAATCTGCATTTCGAATGCAACTATAGAGATGCGGAAAGAATCAAAGAAATTGCCATGGAACTGTACTGACATCAGTGGTGTTACAAGCCGGGTGAGTCCTCAGCCATGTGGTCTGTTGCCTGATCAAAAACCAAGCAGTGACTGTGCTTTCCCTAATGATAGGCTGGCCATCGATGATGTTCCATTGAAGATTTGTTCGGGTGGTAGCTCCTACATATGATAGTCAATAAACTCCCAGTTTGGTCCCAGTAATGGAGTTTGAGAGTGCTGTATTTGATTTTTCGTACCTGTATGATGCCAATACTGATGCCATCTCCTAGCAAGCAAACATGAATAGCCATTTTATGCATGTAGTCCAATGTGTAATCTATTTGAGTCCCAGATTAACGAAATAAAGCAACTTGTGACTCCCATGGTAGTGCACCGTTTATCAGTACTAATGAGCCCTTTTTTTTTTTGGGGGGGAGCAGAACCAAGTGAATGCAATGAAGCCTTCAAATATAAGGGATTCTCGGAGAAACCTTTTGCTACAATCCGGAAGTGTCACAAGCACAAACACGAACAATTTAGTGCTCAATGGCATCCTAATCACTTGATTATAGAAAAGAATCAAAATTTTATTTCGGTGCATTGTTTCGATCACCTAAGAAACGAAAACATTTTGACGTATTCAACCTATTTCAAAAATAAAATGAAAAAAATAAAAAATTTAAGAATTATTTTTTCAAAAATATTGGTCAAAATATGCTAAAATATCTTGAAACATTCTAAAATAATTGTGCAAGTGCATTGAAATATAATAAAACATCTCAAAATATTATGAAACACTTTGAAGTATTACATCACTGATTCGTTTCGGTCTTTTCAAAAACGAAAACATTTCAGATGTTTCAACCATTTCGAAACCATATTTTAATCCTTCTGTAAATCACTGAACATACAAATGCTCGTATGGGCAGCTCAATAACATGACAAAAACAACAAATTGGACAGAAAAGAGTGATTTACACCGAAATTTTTTTACCAACACGAGATTGGTATTCTACTAATGTTCATTTCAACCAGCTCTGTATTGTAAGTCTCTAAGATGTCCAATTTCTCCTGTAATAACTGCTCAAGGTTTTGCAAAGTGTACAGGCAGTGGCATGCAAACTTTCTCAATGTCTCCATGAAGTGGTTTCCTCATTGGGTGCAGCTTGATCTCGTATAGCTTTGGCCAAAGTTTTCCAGTTACTGCAACAAAATGTGGCTTACGTGTTAATACAGTCAGATAATTGCTGTAAATGGACAATGAGAAAAACTCACGAAGACTGTCCTCTGGCTGTCCAGGGAGACGAGGTCAGATGCAATATCTACCCATGAGATCTTTCTACTTTTTCCCTAATGCTATAAAGCATGAATAAACATCGAACTATAAAAAGGCACCACAAAAAGAACAAGAATTCAACACAGCATATGATATAGGCCAAAGGATTTCACAAAGTCACTGGGTTGGTCATGAATCATTGACAATTAACCAAACCTGAATCCAATGATCAATATCGCTGGTTTTCTTTTAGCATAATCCTCTCAAGTGACTGATGGGTACATCCCAAATCAGGTCACACACGAAAAGATACTGATGATGATACTTGTGATAAATATTAAACAAAAGCATAAAAAGCTAGAGCTCACCAAAAAGGCGGTTCTTATCTTTATCCCATGCTATGCCGTTTAAAACATCAATATTCTGTAAATTTCCACAAGCAAATTGGAATAGTGAAAAAAAAAAATTTTATGATAAATGTCATTACTTCATTAATTGCATTTAGAAAACACACAAAGGCAGGCATCTATATGAAACTGCTTACTCTTTTCCCAGCTGCTATCAACCCATCCCTGTAAATCATCAATAAATGATTGGTTAAAAGCTTGACCAAAATAAAAAAACTCTCAAGCAAATGCTTTAAAGGAACAAATTTTATGTGGTTACAGAAACAAAAAGAAGAACCTTAAATTGCGAAGGAGAATCCATCCGAGCACAATACCATCTTTATGTGAGATTCTAGCTATGCAGTCCGTCTGTGCAATGAAAACACAACAACATTAAAAGGTAATCCGTTGTAGCAAAATATCTTATAACCTATTGCACCTCTAACATTTGAAAATAAACACACATGACACAATGCCCTGGTGCTTTTGGGGCATCGTGAAACTCTTAGCTTTTCCATCAAACCTGATGAAAAGTGTCGCACATGCCATAGAGATGTGTTACTGTGGTAGGAAATTGTTTTCCTCCAAAATTGATTTCAAATCCATACTACCAAAATATAAAACTCCATTTGCTCTCTGCATAGACATCCATACCACTTTCGCTCGATATATCTGAACAACTCTCTCTCTCTCTCTCATGCAAAACTTACTGAGAAAAACATGAATCAATAAACTCAACAAAATCTTGTCCCAATATATTTGGGGTGGCTACATGAATCCTGCGTCACCATTGTGCTCTATTAAGGGCCATATTTCCTAAAACAAACACCTGAATCAATGAATGGATTTAATTCTATATTTATATATGTGCAAGTGTGGCCATGGGATTAAGTGTTTACAGAACCGTAACTGCTCAAATATTTTCATGTATGTGTGTGTGTGTGTGTGTGTCTATATGGAGAGAGAGAGAGAGAGAGAGTATGCATGTGTTCACATAGTTGTACCGGGGGGGGGGTGTGCTGTGTGTTAATATGGGTGAGAGTGTGAGGGTTTTTCCGTTCAAAGTTGCCTTGCTGAACAGTGTTCGTATCTACAGTAGTGCACTATTGATCGGAATTAACAGATGATGGATCAATTCATGGTTGGACGGTAACACCTAAGCACAACAAACAGTGCACATCACACTTTCAAAAACTGAGCTTATACCTGCCAAACGTTTGCCCAAACTTCCTCATATACATACTCTAGTTCATTGAGGTTATGTACTTCATGACCTCTATACCTTACAGTTTGCTTTATTATGACTGCACAAATGGAGAAAAATAATTAGATGCAGCAAATGTGCATAGAAAAAGTCAAAGACATCAAAAGAAGGAAAAAATGTTCTGCCATCTATCAGCACATTACGTAAACACTAAATGGATTCTACATTAATATCAGATAAACATTCTCCCAAAAGGTCCACGGCCCCCACCCCGCACAAAAAAGAAAAAAGGGGGGGGGGGGGGGGGGGG